GACTGGATATTATCATCCTGGCTCAAGAAGTGTTTTAAGAAAGTGTTTTCAACAGCCTTAGTGTTTTATGTATATTTAGCCTTTTCGTCTTGAAAACTGGATATTATTATCCTGGCTCAAGGAAGTGTTTTGACAGCGTTTGAACACGGTGTTTTATTTAAATACTATTCAAAAAAAGTAGGGGATATTTGATTTTTAAGTGTTATTAAAGTCACCTAATGAAACTGACGAAGAAACAAATGACAAAATGAAATGAAGTTCACATTCATCGATTTATTCCAAATGATCGTTAGACTAAGTAAGGCACAGACTGACCATTATAAGGGTAAAATGATACCCGGGGTCAAACAGCAAAGTTACCACAGCATCACAACCAAGTCAGTAACGGGTAAATCCTCCTCTGTTTGCCAAACAAGCATTGATCCGACGTGGCATACTCCTAATGAGACGTCTAAGGTCATTTTGGTCCAGATTGTCCCATTCCTGTTGCAACGCAGCAGCAAGTTCTTGGACATTGGCAGGACGTTGTTGACGTTGACGTAACCTCTGTCCAAGCATGTCCCAGACCTGCTCGATGGGGGAGAGGTCGGGACTTAGTGCTGGCCATGGTAATGTGGTGATGTTCTGTTGTTGGAGGTAACCTGTAACGATCCTGGCCCTGTGACATCTTGCGTTGTCATCCTGGAAGATGAAACTGCGGCCATGACGTCGTGCGAACGGCATAAGATGGACTGCCAAGATGTTGTCCCGGTAGTACTGGCCTGTAACACGCCCTGCAACAACATGTAAAGCCGTTCTTCCAGCAACAGTGATGCCTCCCCACACCATAACAGAACCACCCCCAAATCGATCATGTCTGATGACGTTAACGTCTTGGAAGCGCTCGTTTCGACGACGCCACACCCTCCTACGTCTGTCCAAAAAATCAACAGTGAACCTTGACTCATCTGAAAACATCACATTGCTCCAGCGTCGATTATCCCAGTGTTGACGATCCCTACACCAACGACGTCTTGCCTGAATGTGATGATCTCTCAAACAAGGGATCACGCGAGGACGTCGGGCGCGAAGGTGACCCCTATGCAGTCGATTCCGAATCGTCTGGCCACTCACTCTCACACCAGTGTCTGTTTGAAGACGAGCGCTGATCTGATTTGCTGTGATGACACGATTTCTCAAGGCCAAGGTACGGATAAATCGATCCTGGGCTTGAGTTGTCGCCCTTGGTCGACCTGAGCGTGGTCTGTCCTGTACAGATTGTGTATCACGGTATCTGGACCATAGCCTGCTTATGACAGACTGAGAAACATTCATCGTCCGCGCCACAACCGCCTGTGTTGTGCCGATCTGTAGCATGCCAAGGGCACGTAACCTTTCATTTTGGGTAAGCCGACGCATATCAAAATTTGTTTTCTGGTCACTAAAACAATTAAACTGATGTTTCCACCCTGGAATTCAATGCCACAATGACTGTAACATTCAAAGTCAGAGTCGTGCAAATCTTGGGTTGGACCCCCATGATGATCCCAAGCATCACCTGCATTCCATGCGGTAGCTATTGGTGCGTTTGGGCGTCACATGTAACTGGAAATGTTTCTTCTGTTAGGTTCTATAGTGACTTTTTTCGTAGTCATTTGCATATTTTAGTATTATGCCCCCAAAATCAAATATCCCCTACTTTTTTTGAATAGTATATTTAGTCTTTATGTTTGGTAGTAGAAAGTGTTTTTAGAAGTGTTTTGTAAGTAATTATTAATATTACATAGTTAGAGACGACACAAATCGTCCCGAAGCCACGTAATTCCGGATACCCGAATTTGACCTTGCTATCCCCAACCGAAAATTATATGTATCATATATGTTTCTAATTTTTATTAAAACCTTTATAAGTTCCTGTTGTTTCAGTGTCGATTAATTTATTAGACTAACAGTGTGCGGGTAACAGTATGCTCGTCTTCAGTAGCACCGCCCATCTCAAATGTTTTTGAATCTAAAGTCCCTAAAATTTCCAGGACTTTGGGGGAAGATTTTGCAGAATGCTGATGGTCAGAAAACACTATAAGAATGAGTAAAATATGATTTAATATTTCTATTGGGATTGAATATGCAACAAATATAAATTCTTAAGTTCAATAGATTGCCTTAACATTAATTTTATTATTTAAAGATTTTTTATACGCCCATATTTTCACGTATTGTCGTCGCCCCCGTCCGTCCGGCCACAATTTGTTCCTGGTCACTCTATAGGTCAAAATTTGTATTTAATTCTCGGTTGCTTTCGTTATTGGCATGAATCGGGCCGTAATTTCACGAATTATGGCTCCTCGTTGTACGAACATTCACGTTTTTAGCTTCTCGACACTAGTCTAGAGGTCACAATTTTCATCCGATTTTGGTCAAACTTGAAATGTATGTATATAACCCAAAGAACTTGGCCCCTTTCGATATTCGCGCATGAAAAATCGCGTTTTAAGTTCATCTTCCCTCTTGTGGACACAATTTTTATCACATTTAAAAACTATTCGAAAATATCACCGTTACACCATAATTCCAATTGTAAATAGATCTTTTACGTGCACATTAATGTATACACGAGGCTGTCCTTGTCGGGCCCTCCGTCCTGCACCAATGACAAGGGGAAATCACGTCGAAAAATTCCCGAGGGAAATTGCGAATTTGTTTTTATTAGGTTAACCGTCCTTCAAATTACGTAATAAACATTTTACTTCGGTCAAAATAATGTTGATTTATGTCACCTGACCTGGCCAAGTTTAATTATCCAAAAATAAGTCGGTTCACATCCGCCACAATAATTTGTACATCTGCGTCGTAAGTAGTTAAAGAGACGCCACCATTTAAAACATACGCGGCAAAGAGGATGGTCGCTTCTCCAACCTCGTTGATATTATCTGACTCCAGCGTACCCCCCCCCCCTTTCCCCCAACTGTTAAATATCTACGCGCGGGAGGGAATTTCTGAAATGTAATTGTGCCAAATGTTAGTCTAGTAATGATCTGAGTTAAGTTGAGTGGAAGTTAAACTCTCTTTCGTATGTGATAACTGTGTGGTGTGTTACCTGTGAGGTTCGCATGTACAAACCGGTGGGTTTTCTCCGGTTACACCCCCACTGCTACAGAGAGAGAGAGTGTGTGTGTGTGAGAGAGCAGGGGCGGATCCAGAGGGGGGTTGGACCCCCCCCCCCCCTGCTCAGCTACATAAAATTTTTTTTTGTAAAACAACCTTTTGTAAAAACTTTTTTTGTGAGAAAAGAGTCATAAATGTGCTTTATCCTTTATCGTCAGATGGTGCGACAGGATGGGCACTCAAAGCGCGAGATAATGATATATGTGATATCAAAATTAATGCTTTGCATCAATAATTAAATTGAATCACAATGTCATCGTATTAATTCATAATAAAAAAGGGCGTCAAACAGGATGTTAGATTTCTCTGTTTAAAAAGCTCAATGTGTATGTATATACGCCAAAATTACAATAGAGACCATTTATTTCTCAAAATATTTCAAGCCGAGGGGGGGAGATACATTTTCTCAGGAACCTGGCAAACCCCCTCCTGCAAAAATTCCTGGATCCGCCCCTGGAGAGAGTTTTATGTCCACTCGACAAAAATAGGTAATTTGGGGACTAAAATATAGTTCAATTTTATTTCAACATTTCGCTTGCGCGTAGGGGTCATTAGGAGTGGGGGGGGGCTTAATGCCCGGAGAAAACACACCAGGTTAGACAGGCCACCATACTCTTTGTCACGTACAGCCGCGGAATCGAAACCACGCCAGTTTACTCAATGGCGGACCTTATGATATAGCGCGCATGCGCTACCCCCCATCCCCAGTCCACCACACACACTGCTAAACATCCCAACGCACCAGCAAATTATTAATATCTATTATAAATCGGATATAGAAGACCTTTTTACATATTCCCACAATTGTTATCCGATTTTACCCCGAATTTTTCGGATTGGTTCGATTTTGTTACATATCGGCCAGTAACATCCTTGATTATTGCCCTTTATTGCTAGAACTAGAGATCTCAATTTGTATCTGGTTTTTTTATATGAAACTGAAAATATATGTTTATAGTCCAAAGGTTTTGGATGGGTTCGATTTGGGCACATATAGACCAATCACTTCCTGATATTGCACTTTATTGTACGAAAATCGCGAACATAGTAGGGGCCTGAGGTGGTCATATTTACATGTACCAAATACTAAACCAGTGGTTCTCAACCCTTTTTTTGCCAACGGCACACATCGGAACACATGAAAATATAGCGGCACACCTTGTTAAATATATATGAAAAATATTTGAATTTTGCAAAAATATAAAAAAAAATAAATAAATAAAATGGCAACTCATAGACGGCATACAATCGTAGACACAGACTAGTCATAGACACATGAAATAACTGAGACTAAATGAAGAAAAGAACAGCTGTGAATTTACCAGTAGACACCAATGAATACTCAATTGGGATCACGTGGTTTTTCGCATTTTCTTAGGATCAGTCAAGGGCAATATATAATTTCGCTAAAATACTAAAAAATGTACTACTCCTGAAAACGTGATGAAAATTAGAAATGAATTTAATTTGGCCAAGTGATTACAAAGACGTTAATACTTTTTATTCTAAGAAAATTTCGAGCCACGGTGGCTTAGTGACTAAGCCGCTGGTCGGGAAAGTTCCTCGGTACTTTTCAGCGTGATCTAGTTTTCGCATTTTATTTTTAGTGCAGATCTGGAGAGAAAATGTATCTGCGAATATTTGCATCCTGGTTTTAAAATCAGGTCAACAAATCACTGTAATATATATCAAGTCTATGTCAGTTGTTTGTGAAGGCTATATAGTATCCGGGATGATGCCTGACCTGAATAAACAAAACACACATCTGGCGAAAACTGCTGAAAAACACAGAATAATTGTTGTTTGTGTAGAATTTATTATGGTATCGTATCCGGGTCTAATAGTTGCCAATCGGTATAAATAGGGAGATTGGGAACTACCATTTCAATACACACGGGGTCGTCTATACTAGTTCTTGGTAAAGAATTTTATAGTTACTGTATAGGTATTATCAACACCACTGTTCAAGATGCTGAAACTGACCATATTCTCTACAATATGTCTGATTCTACAATCGGTAAGTTTACATTCTTTAATTGTGATTTGAATGCATTATGGTTTTAAGCTAAGGCTGCATGAATTTATTTTGAATTTTAATACGAAACTATGCAGATTAGACTTATACCGTGTTTCAGTCTTGTAACTTGTACATCTCTAAATACATTCTTGTTCTTGTAATGGCAAAATGCACAAGGTCCTATTTCAAATGATAACATTCTAGACATCGTATGTTTTATAGAAACATAGACTAACTTTGGGAAAACTAATGTTGGATTTTTCGACAATGTTATCAAAGAATATCCAGGACTAACCTTTAGTAAAAAACGCAAAGGATAAGGGCAACATTTTCAAGGTGGAGGCGTGGGTGGGGCTATTTTTCTTATCTTGTTCCTGCTTTTAATAAAGTTAAAATATTCAAATATGATGATACCGTTACAAATAAAATTTGACTGAGAGTAAGCATTTCTAAGATGTCAGATCTAATTTTTACCATTGTCAATCATTGGAAAATCTTTTAGCTCAAGCGGAGCTATATTGTAAAATGCTAATTTGTTTAAACATATATGCAAGAGGTAAATCTGCCCATTGCAGGTCTTTATAAGGAAGAGATTTAAATGGATTGAAACACGGTCGCCATTTAATAATTTAATTTAAAAAGAGATAATTTAGACTTAGTCTCGATTGTCAAGTACCGTTGCTACGATAATAAATAATTTACGCCTCATCTTCTAGCACTAATAACGTCGCTCAGAATAAAATAATTTGAATCATCTAACCTTAAAGGGGCTAAATCGCTAATATTTGGGACCTAGAAATTGACACAAATGGGTCGCAAAGCGCATAAAATATAGCAATGTGAATGTATATAAATTGATTTACATTCAACCGTTTCTGTTTTTACTGTAATTTCTAATCAGTTTCCAACCTCGTGGGTTTTCTCCGGGTCCTCCGGTTTTCTCCCACTGCTAAAGACCCCTACGCGCAAGCGAATTATTGAAATAAAATTAAACCATATGTTAGTCCCGAAATGACCTAGTTTATGTCGAGTGGACGTTAAACCCCATCTCTCTCTCTCTCTCTCTCTCCCTCTCTCTCTCTCTAATCAATTATGTTCGGCGAAATACGCCCGAAGTCTCAATTGAATGGCAATCTTTAGCGTCTGGTTATTCCAGTCTACACCGAAGATATGTATTGCGCATGCTCTCCAGATAAGAATATAGCGTCATCATTTGACATGACTTGTGGAATATGTCTAGTCGCGTTCTTTGAGTCTCTTGTTCCAAATGTCGATTGAATGGATCCGGAACAGAGTGTTCCAAGCCATAGACATAAAAGACACAGACGTTTTTGATGAACTTTTAGAAAGGAAGGATGGTATTGCAGAAAGACAACTTCTTAAATATCTCAATGAATACTCCTGGTGATAAATAACATGCGCTGGTTGTGGCGAAGAATATATTGGTCAAACGGGGGATGTATTGAGAGCAAGAGTCCGAGTACATAAACAACAAATTAAAACCCCATATTGTAGATGTATACCCCTTAGCGCACATATAGATGCATGCGCAAAGAATTACAATCCCCAGTTCACACTATGTCCTATATACAAAATGCGCACTGAGAATGAAGAGCTGAGGAAAATCAAAGAACGATTCTTCATTGAAGGATATACCCCTAAATTAAACTGTAACTAACATGAAATCATGTTGACGTCACATTTACTGTGTATGACGCTATGAATCACGCCCCTTGCCATTGTTAACGCTATACCATCAGCAACACAATGTATAAGTTACCCTGATGATCACTATGTTGTGAAACCGGTTGGTAATGAATTTATATGAAGACCAATTAATCTTCAGTTTGTTATTTTTAAAGAATATATATATATATTGTTATTTTAGATATGCGGTATTAGCGCATTGTCAGGTGGTGCAATAGCTAGTGAGGCTGACAGCCACGTCGGATCAACAAAATGGAGTTACGCATCTTCACATGCCACAGGGTCAAACACCAATAAATGCAATATCTTCGTAGCTGACGTTCTGAAAAATGCAGGTGGCGATGTACCTCACAGGTGAGAGAGAGAGAGAGAGAGAGAGAGAGAGAGAGAGAGAGAGAGAGAGATTCCTGATGATTTTTCTCGACCATAGGACCTCCATATTGGCAAGCCAACACATTTCTCACTGAGGCATCGCGGCTCCCAGATAATATTATAAACATTGTTAATGGCATTAAGATGCATATACATGTATACACTATACACTACTTACGCTGTCTACAATTAACTGGTTGACCGACATTTGAGTTATCAGTAAACAACATTAAGTATTCTCAAAGTTATCTCATACTACCCAACCCACACCCTCTATACGTTTTGATCAATTTTCTTTACACCTTTATTTAAATTCTAGGTGGTGGGGATTTTCCGGACCCATCGGTGCTGGCGAATGGGGTAATCCCAGCTCGTCATACTTATCCGGAGATGACTGCTGGAGTAACGTGAACATCCCAAGAATCGGAGACGTGATCGGGGATGGTGTACACGTAGGTATAATAACCGGATACCGAACGACAACAAGTGCTAGATATGACATGGTAGTGAAAAACGACTGGGGTTACAGACCTAACCAGAGCTCTACTCGATTTGCTTACTGGAGATATGTATGTTAAAGACATAATCTCTCCTGTTACTTAAAGATGCATTATGTAAGAGTTAAATCTGCCAATTGAAAATCTTTATTTTGACTAGTAATTACACATTCATTTATTCACATGACCAACCCATAATCAACTCTCTAGTTCATCGCATATCTATGATGATGTGTGGATTAGACAATGTTTGTCATATCTTCGTTAAACGCTAAATGGAAAATCAAGACTATGTTTATTACCATAACAATGGTACTTGATAATCGAGAGACCCTTTAGGCTATTTCTTGCCAAAACTTCAGATACTATAATCAAGTAATTTGACTGAAATTTTCAATATATTTATTTATCATTTTATCTATTTTGGAACTATTATAACAAGAATGGGTGTCTCTTTATCTAAATCTTACATAAGTATCTTTAAGCTAGCTGTAATGTAAATTCGTACATGGACTTGATTGTTTTTGCTTTAATGAAAATAATAGGTAATTATATAAATAACTGTTTTAAATTAACTGTTATAGTCAATAATATAATTTTGTTTATCATTGTTATTTAATGTAGTTTCTATTGGCTTACTGTAGTCTATTATATCAAATGTTTATTACACTCCAAGAAATGTATATATGGTTGTATCTCACTGACGATATACATATATCCACGATTGTTTATTGTAAACGCATGATTTACTATGTTATGATGTTTCCAGATAACTTATATCGATTTTTGTCTATTGTTTAATCCAATTCAGTTTATAGAATAAAATATTGTATAAATTAAAGATACATTATGGGAGATTAGATAACGAGTTGGCAGTTCTCACTATAATAGTTAAAAACTACATAATGTAAAGGCAACTTGATGAAAATTTCATTCAAATTGATCTACTATGAACCGAGAACTAAGCGGATGAAAGTTCCGCTTAGCCTCGATCATCATTACTGAAGTCGATAAGACAAAACTAATAGTCTTGATTATCCATTTAATCGTTAATCACGAAGGAAAGTTTTGCAGCAAATCGGACTGTAATCCAACAAATATCGCAGGCAAGCCTTGACATCGAGAGCTGATTATGGTCTGGATAAGTTAATTAATGTCTAATTAATAATTTAGATAACATTTCAGGCCTAAAGAAAGACCTACAATAGGCCGATTTTGCTCTTGCATAATGTATGTTTAAGTGTTTTACATGTTGATTTAGATGTTGAATTATCGTATTTTTGTTATGATACATATGCATTGTGTTATTGTCATGATGAGAAATAAGAATTGTCTTATGGTGATTATGATAATTACGAATTGTCTAACTGTCATGATGATAAACATTGTGTTATAGTCATGATGTTAAATATGAATTGTCTTATGGTTATTATAAATATGAATTATGTTATTGTCAGGGCGATAAATATTAATTCTGTTATTGTTATGAAGCAAAATGTTATTATTTACTGATTAAATTTTACATGATGTACAACTGAAAGAGTTTTCTGGATAATTATTAAAATTTTATCCCCCCACCCCCACCCCCAATCCCAATTCAATCCGCGCTGCAAGTCTTCGTCGACATTGTCGGTACAGATTACTAGGACCTTAAGCAGCCCAGTTGATTTCATTATTTTCCTTTCCTCACTTTAGGATGGCAATTTTTGTTGACGTTTTGGATTAGAATCTAAGAAGAGTGTCTGTGTTTCCAATTTCTGCAAGGTTTTTGTGGATATTCATGTTTTTGTTGACGTTTTGGATTATAATCTAAGAATAGTGTCTGTGTTTCCAATTTCTGCAAGGTTTTTGTGGATATTCATGTTTTTGAGGCGAAAGGACCGGAAAGTAAACAGACATGAAATTGGGTGATCGCCCAGCAAAAAATAGAAACGGTCAACCCCTTTCAATATTTTTATCATATGACTGTGACATATGGTTATAAAGATTGAGATCATATGAATTCTCAAAGGCATGTTATAGGCCAAGAAATGGGAAGGGTTTAACATTGGAGTTATATTCTGGAATGAGACCAGAAGACTGGAAGAGTTATCTCCCTGTACTGCTGTACCGGCCCTCGATTGTCATTCCGGAACATCCAGAATTCCAATCAATTGATACGGAATTCAGCCATGTCACTGTTCTGCCAGTCTCAACAGTTGAGGTGGTGTGAGTAGAATCGTGACGTATTTTAAGTGACAAATATCTTTCAACTGTCATGATTGTTTGAGATATTTTTTATGCAGTCGGCACATGCGTTGTACTCCGAAATTCCCCTTTTCACTCCATTGACACAATTTTTGGAAATGAGAGAATTTAATTCCGGAACGTTCAATCGATTATTCCCAATAGCATTAACAATCATAACCTGAACTTATTTTAATGTACACGATTATGCATAATATGACCTCACTCCCCTCTGTTATTTAATCAAATTTTCGTCCTCTTCCCTCAGAAAATTTTTAAAAACAGGTTGCCGGAAATGCAGCCTGGCAGTATTTCAGGCACTGATCGTTGAGTTAAAGTGTCAAACGAAAGGATTGTCGAACCTTGACGAAGCCCACTCACGAGCGTCAAAGTAGGGGGTCCTTACGGAGGGTCTGGGGGACCTCCCCCAGAAAATATTGAAAAATAGACTGCCGAAAATGCTGTCTGACAGTATTCAGTCAGGAACCGATTGTCGAGATAAATAGATCTGTGCAGATACCGTCCGTCGCCTGATCACTAGTTTATCCGACCAGAGAACAAAATGTCAAACGAACGGACTTGCGAACCTGAATGAATTCCCATCATGAGGGCCAAAGTAGCGAGTCTTTGCGGGGGGTATTGGAGACCTCCCAAAGAAAATTTTGAAAAATTGACTGTCGGAAATGCTCTACAACATGCAAGTCTATGGCTGAGTGGGGATGTGGGATTTATTCATCGTAGAAGGTATTGATAACCGAAACGTACCACAAATACTTTTTTTATTTTCTAAAATTATTGGGGGTGGGGGGCAAACAGAGGGCAGACCAGATTTATTAGGGGGCAAATGCCCCCCCCCTTGTCCCCCCTTGGCGCCGCCACTGGCAGCAGAAAGAACCAAATTATACACAGCCTCCATTGTCCCGCATGCAGTGAGCTCAATGGGCATAAATATATAAGATACATCTCTGACAATTGACCGATCGCTAGGGCAGACTTAACCACGCCCCTTATGAATAAAGGGAGATATTCAAATAATCTTTGGGAAAAGAATAAAGGTTTTTCTTCCTGTCAATCTCTCCGGGTATCTACTGTCCAAATTACAGGTACCCTAAGCACATCTCTTTGCCATTATGAAGTTTTGATGTTTAACGTCTGCTGGAAATATCTTTATTTACGTCTGACGACCAAGTCGACGGATAAATGGCGGACAAAATATAGCCGACTCACGCAGAAGGGAATGCGTTTTTTGAGTTGTTGATTTATTATTTTGATTGACAGCTGAGATCGGTCAATTCAGTGTGTAGTTGTGGTCATATGTTTGAGGACATCGAATATTACTTATTACTTTGTCCCTTATTTTCAAATACACGCAATCGATCCATACCTCTCTTTTATCCAGTTTTTATCTCATCATACACTCCAATTCACAAAAATATAACTTACTCAAACAAAATTTTTGAAAAGTCCAGTCAAGATTATACTTTTTTCATCGGTATTACAACGAAGCATATTGTACATATGTATATAAGTCAACTCACTAAATGTATAATTTTCACCGTTTTGATTATTCTTGCACATCTTTTGAGTTAAAATTGAATTGTTTTATATTTATAGGAGAATGGCTAAATAGGCCATGGCTGTTCCGAAATCCTATTTATTTATGAATTAAATATTGTTTATAAAAAAAATAATTTACGAAGAGATACTCGTTCAACCTTTGTTCTATCAGCACCAGCCGAGCTAATTGCGACAGTCATACGCCAGCGGTGTCACGGAATACTCTTTTCAACTGTTAAAGGGACAATCTCGATTTTAACACAGCCTCAGAAATAAAAGTCAGTGAACGTTTGAAATTTAAAAGCCAAAATATAGAGGAATGGTGTATTTACCTTGTCTCAAAATTTCAGCTCAAAATATTGAATCGTTTGAACGTGAACGTCAAAACCGCTTATCCGGACAAGTATTTAAGATTTCGGGTCAATTTTTTCCTTGGGTTACCTGATAATCTATTGCCGTTCCTTTAGAGGTCTAAACCTACACGTTATTTTTATAAAATAAAAGTATGGTTTTATCCACTCCATTTCCAGATGAAGGCTGACGGGTTGAAGTATCACGTATATTGGGTTGCCCTAAGATAGAGGATTTTAATGGCTTTTAACACAAAATTAAGCAGTTTTATTCTCCAAAATATACTCGAGATTGTCCCTTTAAGGGTTCCTTTATATGCACCGTGTAGAAATATTGTCGTTGCGACATTGTTTTCAAATTTAAAGACAAGGAATAGAGAAAAATGGTGGCATTATATTTCATTAATTAATATCTTTGGCAAGTTATTAGATTCACATATACATGTATGTACTTAAATCAAGCTAGCGAATGGGTGGCATATTGTTACATAAAAAAGAGTTATAATTTGGTAAACATTAGCTGGTTCTGTGGGATTAAGAATATGTATTACACGTGATAGGAAATTTACGATTGCACTATTTGGCTTGTTTAACCAGTCTATATGCTTATTTACATCATATTTGACCAATTAGATAATTGAAGGTCCAAAACCCAAAGCTACAAAACTATCATATTTGTGAGCAATCGTCAGACAGATTCTGGAAGGGAAAAGATGTAGCAGTGTCTATCAGCAGACTCGCCCAGCGAGTCGGGCTGGATAAGGTTTGAGAGAATGACTTTATTCTATTATGCATTTAAGCAGCTATAATATGATATATAAAATGTAAAAACGAACTGTTGCATTTTTATTCCTGGAAAGACAAACGTCTTAAGAAAACAGTAAGAAGTAAATACACAACGTGAAGAGGAAGAAAGACGACAAATGAAAATACTAGACGATCATATGGTGCTACACCCGTTTATCATGATTTTACCTTTGTTACAGCGGTCATTGACGATTGAGTGTAATCAAGATACATGTATAGGTAAAATTTACAATTCATTTCATGGATCGATCAACATCAATAGAATATCGAATATTTTAGTAAACATCAACATTAGAGAGAGAGAGAGAGAGAGAGAGAGAGAGAGAGAGAGAGAGAGAGAGAGAGAAATGGGGTTTAACGTCCACTCGACACAAACTAGGTCATTTCGGGACTAACATATGGTTTAATTTTATTTCAATAATTAGCTTGCGCGTAGGGGTCTTAAGCAGTGGGAGGAAACCGGAGAAAACCAATGAGGTTGGACAGGCATACCTACTCCTTGTCACGTAGGGGCCCGGAGAAAACCCACGAGGTTGGACAGGCGACCCTACTCCTTGCCACGTACAACCGGGGATTCGAAACCACGCCAGTCGACTCAATGACAGACTTTATGATACAGCGCGCGCACGCTAACCATTCAGCCATCCAACTCCCCATCAACATTTGAAAGAATTGATTACCATTTTATCCTCTATGGCAAAATTATTTTTATAATTACTATCTTAGAACTTTTCAGATAATATTTAACAACCAGATTGATTGTTTAAAGGGCGTATAACTCTATTCTCGAACCCACACTGAACCGAGATTTCAGAGATTGAATTTTATGCCTAGTCTCGATCATCATTACTAAAGTCGGCATTTTAAAGTACATAGTCTCTATTACCCATTTCATGATTTAATAATGAATGAGCGCAGAACAGCAGATCGGATCCTAATCCAGTAAATATCGCAGGCTAGCGATGACATCGAGAGTTGATTATGGTCTGGATAAGTTAATTAATGTCTAATAAATAATGTGGATATCATTTCAGGCCTAAAGTAAGATCTGCAATAGGTAGATTTAGCTCTTGCATAATGTATGTTGATTGTAAAATGAATGTATATAAAGTGATTTCTATTCAATTTTAAAATTTTTATTGTAATTTCTATTCAATTATGTTCGGTGATAAACGTGAACGGTTCAAATTGAACGACAGTCGTTTCACCTGCTTAATAGATTCTACACGTATGTGAATCAGTCCTTACTAATTACTTCTGCAATGTCTTGCTGAATACGTTTTCCTTTGTCAATTTTCCTTGTCAATTACAAATGGCATAAAAAAAACACGAAGTACACGACTCATGTACTGATCTTTAAATGTTCACCGTTTCTGAAATATTGGATATTAGAATCCCATATTTTCACGCAAGATAGCAAATTTAAATACTGATTCAAATGGATCAATATTAAATTTTGAATTTTTTGGAAAATATTGAGTTAAAGGTTTAGCTCCTTTAAGTTTGAACTCAGAAATCAAATTTAAAATATATCCCCGGATAATTGGCGCTGGGCTTGGATTACAAGATCTTATCGGCTCTTGTAAGTGGTGTTGCTAGT